GGGCGTGGCATAGTTGTAGAGTTTGGAGCATAGTCTGATAATAACTGAGTATACACTCCGGAGTCTGTAGTTTACCTTTCTCTCTATTCTCCGTTTATCGTCCTCGGATAGACTCCGCTTGAAATCCCGAACCTTCAACAACAGATATATTATAAAACATAATTGTTCAATTAGCTACTTTTTTAAAGGGACGTGACTCTCCATTTGTTGTGTGGCCGGTCCGATTCACACAGGTTCCCTTTAACCCTTTGTCATATCATTAATGCAAAAGAAATCTTCCAAATTAGCATGAAATGTTGGCAGCTGAGAACTTTAACGTACGCTTGTGTACCTCGTATGACCTGTTGAGATGGTGTATCTTTCGACCTACGCAAATCCGCTATACTCCAAATCTGACCAACGCCAAATCCGTTATACTACACATCCGATCTACTAGCACGTGGTTTTACCTAGCCGCGGCGCTCAGCCCAAAAATTGTCTTAACCTAACATAACCCTCAAATAATACAAAAAAAACAGCTGGAGTAGGTCCGATATTGCAGTAGATCGGAGAGTTAGTAGGCCATAAGTTCATTAGGGGGGGATGTTGTGTATGGACGATGTATTTTCTGTTTTAGAATTACTAAATTCAGAATATTAGTTGTATAACGTTACGCAAATTTTGCTGTTATTAAAATTCGTATGAACATGCTTATTGGCCGGTAATTCCGGAAGACAGCTTAAATTTTTAAAATAAAATGGGTTGCATATAATCAACAATTACATTCAATTTCAGCGAACAAAATCTGTAACTACCAACTACTCTGTTATCCTTCATCAGGATAAAGTGTTCAAGGCACACTGTACATGCGTGCGATGAAAGCATCACTAAATCATAAATTTGATTAAGAGAGTGACGCAAAAATTCAAGGTTTCACAAAAAATCTAATTTTTAGCAGGATTTGATGGGCTAAATACAAAAAACTTTTATACTTTTATAATAAACAACGTCTTGCATCCTTGCAAGTTTTTTTAAATAAAAATGAGATCTTAAAGGGACTGTAAAGGAAAAATGAACTTAGGTTTCATTTTTCCTTTATAATCCTACATTTCAAAAAAAAGATTGGTGGCAAGGGTTGATGTGAATTAGCATTCAAGTGTATCGTAAGCATAATGCCAGCCAGAGCATATTTTCTTAATTTAAGTTCTAGAAATATATTAATACTGGCACTTTCCTACATTTAATATGTTTTTATCTTGTTTTCATTGACAAGTGTTAGTACAGTGTCTATTGTTAAAAATATTCTACAAAGTAAATAAACTTGATAAATATTTTTCTACCTTGGATTTGAGATGAGATAGTTTACTAGAGTTTCCAGACCCACTGGATCCTCCTACAGAAATAAATACTTTAAAGGAACTGTTCACGAAACTTAAAGGACGTACAAAAGCTTAGATCTTAAGGAGATGAAACTTAAAGATCGCCCCCGCTCTCCCCTTTGATGTACTTCCCTGCAGTGCAGATTAGAACTTCCAAATTGATTCAAATCTTGTTTGTGTATTCTTACTACAGGGTGTCCGGCGAAACATGTTAGTAGCAAAACGTTTTGAAAGTAGTCTTTGAACTTTTAATTTATTTGTGACATACAGTCGTCAAGTAACCATGAAACAATAAGCACAAATTATTTAATAAATAAAACCAAAATTGTGGAAATCTGAACGAAATTCTTCATTCTCTGGCAATATTAAAATTAAAAAGGCAGACCACATTTTGGAAATACCAAGACTAGAGTTATTTTGCGATTATTAATTTTTTAACTTTATTTTCTTTGTTGTGCTAATTATTTTAAATATCAAAGATGACCTTTTATTCCTCATGTTACTATCATGTTTCGTGGGACATCCTGTATGTTAAATATACATTATACATCTTTAAATAAGATAAAAAAAAATACGCAACAGTGCTTCAAATATTGTTTATATGTTAAATATCCATCTTTTAACGATATACAAAATACGCAACAATGCTTCAAATATTGTTTGTGTATTTGTTAATTTTTTAAATATCCATCTTTTAATGATATTCAAAATATCCAATGCAATATTTTGTTTACGTTGATAATTCATTTTAAATAATCTATGGCAACGAAGCAACGTATTCCTTTACCTCCAATTTAAAATATTACCTAGCGGAAAGAACTCTATTCCTCCCCTTTAAAATATCTAATTAGCGGTTTAATTTCTATTCCTCTCCCCTTAAAATATTTACTTTAAAGTGTAATTTCTATTCCTCCCCTTTAAAATATCTAATTAGCGGTTTAATTTCTATTCATCTCCACAAAAATATTTACGGTATAATTTTTATTACTTCCCTTAAAATATTTACCTAGCGGATTTATTTCTTTAAAATATTTACCGAGCAGAATATTTTTATTCCTCTTAGAATTATTCATACGCATATCCTTCAAAATATTTACCTAGCGGAATGATTTCTATTCCTCCGTTTTCTTTCTTGCCATGAATCCTGTGCTCTTGTGAATCCCTACTGGAAATTGGAGTAATTGATACAAACGGCAGTATTCCGTCATCCTGGAATAAAGAATAATGAGAGCCGTGAACCGTTGGGTAATTCTACAACTTAATTCAATGTAAATATTCTAACCTTGTTGTATTTCCTACAAGTATTCTAACCTTGTTGTATTTCCTACAAGTATTCTAACCTTGTTGTATTTCCTACAAGTATTCTAACCTTGTTGTATTTCCTACAAGTATCCTAACCTTGTTGTATTTCCTAAAAGTATTCTAACCTTGTTGTATTTCCTACAAGTATTCTAACCTTGTCGGATTTCCTACAAGTATTTTAAACTTGTCGGATTTCCTAAAAGTATTTTAACCTTTTTGGATTTCTTAAAAGTATTTTAACCTTGTCGGATTTTCTAAAAGTATTCTAACCTTGTCGGATTTCTGAAAAGTATTTTAACCTTGTCGGATTTTCTAAAAGTGTTCTAACCTTGTTGGATTTTTTAAGAGTCTTCTAATCTTGTTGGATTTCTTGAAATTATGTTTACCTTGCTGGATTACCTTAAAGTATTCTTCTAACCTTGGTCGATTAGATTACATATAAGTATTGTAACCTTGTTGGATTTCCTAATGTTATTTTTACCTTGCTTGATTTCCTAGGTTTTGGCTCTGATGATGATAGTTTTGAGATTGATATCCCTGATGGAATTTTCTCTAAATCCTGTTTACAAAATATGTTTTACAGTTCAACTTGAAAAACAAGCAAATCCAAGAAAAGAAGAGAAAATTCACACAAAACAATGTTAACGGGCATTGCTTAAATCAATCATACAATAAATTAATTTAATAAAATTTATTATGATAAAACTGGTTAACCTTCATTTCAGAATTTGTTCCCAATAGAATCCAGAAAAAAGTGAACAAGACGTGTACACTGTACAATTCTTGAAAACAAAACATCTGATTCAAGAATTTTGCAAAATTCATATGTTTATTTTTCAAAAAGTTTCGGATCCAGTGGAGAATACGTTTGAATAATATATATCCTGTTTTCAGGGACGGGGAGGTGAATTTATGTTTTAAATCTCAAAATCTAAAAATATACACAGAAGTTTATGTTTAAGAAAAATATGAAATCAACCGGCAAAGTATGTCAAGTCTTTTTGACACCATGTAAATTGTAAAGGTGTACCCAAAATTTCATTAATTTCTCAATTAAAAAAAAACTTTTTCTCTTCCGAAATTCAGCAAAAAAATCCCAGGAAATCATTTAATTTGAAAAAAAATATTCCTTGGATAATGATAAACTTGATCCTCCTTCCTTCAGCTCCACCACCAGTCCATCAGATTTACGTCGTTTGGAAACTAGATCAGAAAACTAGATTTACGTCGTTTGGAAACTAAATTAGAAAACTAGATTTACGTCTTTTGGAAACTAAATAAGAAAACTAGATTTACGTCGTTTGAAAACTAAATCAGAAAACTTGATTTACGTCGTTTAGAAACTAAATTATAAAACTAGAACTACGCCGTTTGGAAACTAAGTCAGAAAACTAGAAAACTAAACAACGTAGTTTGGAAACTAAATAAGAAAAATAGATTTATGTCGTTTTGAAACTATATCAGAAAACTAGATCAATGTCGTTTGGAGATTAAATTAGAAAACTAGATTTACGTCGTTTGGAAACTTAATTAGAAAACTGTATTAACGCTGATGGGAAACTAAATCTGAAAACTAGATCAACGACGTTTATAAATTTATTTAGAAAACAAAATAATGTAGTTTGGAAAATAAATAAGAAAAGTAAACATAAGTCGTTAGGAAACTAAACATAAGTCGTTAGGAAACTAAATTGGAAAATTAAATTTACGTCGTTTGGAAACTTATTTAGCAAACTAAATAATGTAGTTTGGAAACTAAATAAGAAAGATAGATTCACACTGGAAACTCCTAAAACTAAGATTGTACGGATAAATACCTGAGGTAAGATTGTGAGATGCCTGCAATGGTTGACGGAATTGAACTTTTGTCGGACTCCTAAATATTAGTATGTTTAATACAGTATTCTTTGTTTGTACCTTCTAAAAAAAAATTAATTTATACATACATATATTGCAAACTTACAGTTGGTAAGGGGTTACCTCAATACAATTCAGACATCTTTCGATTTCAAATTTGATTTATATCAAGCTGTTAAACAGCATGGATACACATAAACATATAAGTCCAGAGAAGCTCTCAATTAAAAAAGCTTCTTTTTGAAAACTTGTAAACTTGTAATTCCAAAAAAAGCTTGTCAAACAAAAAACAAACAAAAAAATGTCTTAATTGTATTGATATAATCGCCTATCACTGTAGTTTATCTCATCTGTGGCTTGTCGTTATGCCCCGCAAAATTGGTGTATTCTATTTGATCCTTGGCATAATTAGAAAACGATCCATCAGGTTACAGAAAGAAGGATATTTTGTCCAAAACTGTAGTTTAAGATGAGTAATCAAAGAAAATTAAGATAGTTACCTTGTGATTGAAAGGGCCCCAGGAAGAGATTCTACACCCTGAGGCCCAAACCTGATAAAAATATTATTAGATTTAAAATTTTATAAATCAATAAAGTTTTTCAATCTTGATTATGATTATTATTTAAGAAGATATATGAATCAAAAAGATATTTTAATTGTATATGTCTTTCTGTTTCAAGTCCTTTAAGAGATTTATTCTAAAATGTCGTCTTCTTTTCCAATTTTCAAATGATGAAATTAGTTACTGATACTTTGTAATGTTTTTACAATCATGAACATTTGTGAGTGTCGTAATGTTACTTTTGAAGTCTAACGTGTCAAAATGGCTAAAACATTAGGGGAGATGAATTGTCGCAGGGAAGATAAACTGATGCACGATATAAACTTACCGGTTTAAAGACTCAGTATCATTGCTCGACTCTGTGTCCATTGGTTCCTGTTTTAGTTTTCCGCCGCCAGGGCCCCCCAGCTCACAACTCTTGGCTTGATTCTGTACTCGACCATTTTCCGTCTTTAGCTTCCCTCCGTCCTCTCCTCTTCCTTCTTCCTCATCCCCTTCCTCCCCTCCCTCTCCTCTACCGCTTCCACCCTGGTTTAGGTAACAAGTAACAAAATCCGCCATATTAATTGTTTTGATTTATTACGAATTGAACCATACCAAATATTAAATCCGAAGTTACCAGTTTCAATGAATAGCTGAGAAGTAATTGAAATACAAGACTAAATTGAATCACTTATCTTGAGCTTAGACTAGCATATACGAGAACTGTTTAAACCGGTGGTACATTGTACAACTATTTCTCACTGTTTTCAAATCCAGTGCTTATGAAAAATTCATTTGTCTGAAATAATCTTCGAATGACATTTAGCTTGAATATATCAAATCAAAATGTTCTATTTATATTCTACTTTTTTGATCATCAAAAGATTCTTGTGAGTAAGTTAGTAGAACTAAAGTGTTTTTGTCAAAGGGACTGATGTCGTATATTCAAGTGACCCTCCTTCTAAGGAGGCATATACCCGATTCACAAAGGTACCCGTGAAACCTTTATCTGATCGTTGTCGTTTTTCTACCTTAAAAGTCTGATAATCTTGTTTCTTGTTTCCTGTACCAGAAAAGCGTACAAGTCACCCTTAGAGAGTAACAACAATGGAAAATTGTTAAGACAAACTTTAAAGGATACCGTTGTGAATCAGACATGCCACTCTATTAATGAAGAGTCACGCGAAATTTTGTCTATAGATCCTTTAAATGCAAGCATTTCAAAGAATTCTCAGGCGTGAGTTGTATTTTAAATATTGCTGACGTGTTTAACATTCAGACGGGGGGAGGGAGAGCGCAGAGCTCCTCAATTTGTAATCAGCACTCCCCAATCGTGTTTTGCGGCATCGCGTTTCTCAATTTTTTGCCAATTACAAATTGATTAGCGCGCATACCACTAAACACGTTAGGGTGGTGCTGATTACAAATTGATTAGCGTGCATACCACATAACACGTTTGGGTGGTGCTGGTTACAAATTGATTAGCACGCATACCACAAAATACGTTTGGGTGGTGCTGATTACAAATTGATTAGCGCGCATACCACAAAACCCGTTTGGGTGGTGCTGATTACAAATTGAGGACTACAGCCATCCCTTCCTGCTCAGACGGATAAAATGACAAGGCAAAGGACCGATATTTTACGAACTAATAATAAATAAACGAAGAAAAAAATGCAAACGACAAATCCGAGGAATATCAGTATTTATATCATATTTTCGGAGATTTCGAAGAAACAATTCATTGCAACCCCCCCCCCATCCCCTCCCCACTAACCTGTCCTCCAGCTGTATCCTCCATATCTCCAGCCTCGCCTCCTAACCCACCACCATCTTCCTCTGAACCAACACAATTAAAGCTATTTCTTCAAGGTATCCCATCTTTCATCATCACAAACAAAAACCAGGGTTAATAGTTTTTTGCTTTAAGCTTTGAAATTTTTCAATTTGCCATGTTGGTAATTTCCTAGAGAACGATTTTTGGACCCCGCCCCCCTCCTATCAATTTTGTACATGAATCTTAAATGTAAGACATGTGGCCGCAGCGCTCGACCCCCTAGCCTGTCCTCAGCCCAGAAAGTGTCTTCACCTAACCTAACCCTAAATAAATATTTATTTAATTGAAAATTGTTGAAAAAGTGGTCATGTATAACATTGATAGGAGCGCGGCGGGGGCGGGGGGAGGGGGGTCCAAAAATCGTTCTCTAGGACGGACCCGCCATGTTTCTATTACAAGTTAATTTCTCTCTTACAATGATAAAATCAAATAAAGCCAGCAATGGTTGTTTTACTTCTCATGAATTTTCTATTTTTCAAATTTTTTTAATTACGTCAAATTTTTCATAGTATTTTGTGTTTCCCTGATTTAATACTGCGAGTAATTGCTTGGTTCTTCTTAAGAATTGATCTGAAAAGTAATTCTATGGAATTAATACAATTTTTTTTTACAAAATCCAAAGAAAAGGTTTGTTGTTAGAATGTTTAAGCTCAGGGGCGGATACAGAGGGGGGACATTCGTCCCCCCCCCTGAATTTGGAATTTTTTGTTCCTATTTTCAGAATAGCTTCTCACTATATAGCATGCTTAAGGGAAAGAAACCCTAGTGCAAAATAGGAAAAATATGTGTCTTAATAAACTTTAATGTGTGAAAAGTTAAAAATCTAATTTTTCGTCTTTAGTCATTAATTTTGACTCTTTTTGAGTCTTTCAGTCAAAAAAAATTTTCGCCTGCGACGCGATTTTTTGTTCCTAATTATGAATTTTTTGTTAATAAAAAAATCTTGCCCCCCCCCCCTCACTTAAATCCTGTATCCGCCCATGTTTAAGCTAGCGTGTAAGACTGACAAAATAAGGGTAAAAGAGAACATTTTATAATTTTTAAAATCCTGATTCAACACAATGAGGAAAAATAATGAAAATATGAAGTGAGGAAAAACATCATTATTTCTAAGTTTTTTTTTAGAAAGTATCTATGAATGAATGAAGAATAACTATAACAAACATCAACGTTAGGATACACGGGTGTATATTTTCTTAAAAAATTACCCCCTCCCCACCTCCATGAAAATTATTTTTTTCACCAGAAGTTAGGCATGTTCATGCAGGGAAAAATAAATTGATTTTTGGGAAATAAGTATAAAAAAGATGAAAAATTTCTTTTTTAATGTCCAATTTTGATTCCCCCCCCCCCCTAATTCAGCAAAAATTAAAAATCAGGGGAGGGTGTGTTAGTTGTTAAAATTATACCCCTGTATTTAAAAATATGAATATAAAGAAGCTCGAACCTCATAGTTACAGGGATGGAGAGGGACTGAAGGAGAACACGACTAATAGCAGCATCCGCCTCAGCTTTTACTCCGCCCTCCGCCTTCATCCCACCTTCCGCCTTTATTCCTAGATCTCCAGACTGAGCAAATCCACTCAAGTGAACTGTACACCTAACAAAATTCAAGTTTGATTAAAATGAATGTACTGTACAGATGTTGATTCAAATTCATAAATATTTTAATTCCTCACAAAAATAAAAAATTTGTCAAATGAAGTTTTAAAAGCACCAACATTTTTTTAACAAAAACATAGCAAAAAAAACTTTTGTTTATTTCATTAACCAGGAGGGAGGATAGTGCTCAGAAATAATTAACCCCTTTTTGGTTGCCTTAAAGCTTTAAAACTATCTATTATTATTAAGACCACAAGAAACCAAATAATATCTTTTGTACTTGAATCAAAAATATTTTTGAGTAGTGTAAGGAGTATCCTGAAAACCCATGAGAACCAGGGCGATCTGAACACTACTCTGGGGGACTGGAACAGACATTCCTACAATACTCCTACTTGGAGTCCTTGGAATCACATCACAAGTATCAAGTAAGTAAGTATCAAGGATGATAAGGCAAAAGACATGTTATAGGGGTGCATATTTCTATCCTAAATTCGATTATGTTTTGCTATAAAAAATGATGAATATTAAAAAGGGGTGTGTGATTTTTTAATAAAATATTCAGCCCAAAAATAGAATTTTATTTATCTTACTGTGGTGATGTAACATCTGATAACATAATTTCAGCAGTTGCCATATCCTCATCTACTGGGTCCTCAAACATTATCGTCAAATTCTAAACAAATAAATGAAAATTATTTTTTGTGAATAAAAAATTAAGAATAATTGTTTGCGTCACTTTTTCTTATAAATCCTGATTGGTGTTGAGCAATGGACATTCAAGGTTTTTTTTAAGCTAATTAAAATTAATAACCAACTAATAGAGAATTAGGGTTTTCAGCGAAAAAAAGAAGATTTTTGCGTATTTCGCATATCAGTCCCCTGCCCCCTCTCCTATATTCATTCTGATTTTAAGTATTAGGAAACGTTGAAGAATTCAATTATGATTATTGGTTAATGGAAAACTTTTAAAGGATTACTTAAACTTAAGTTAATAAAATGTTTAATAAAACAAGAAAGGTTATCTTTTACTTTTATTGTGCAAAATGCAAGGGTAAATATATTTTTAGAATTAATTCTTCCTTCATATTTCATTTTGATGCTTTATTCAAACCCAAAATTTCATCGCTTCAGCATCTAGAAATAAGGTCCTTAACAATTCCTAACACAGCAAGATAGAAAAATTGTTTTTGAAGAGAAGCGTGGGGGGGTAATTTTTAACATAAAATATAAACCCCGGCCCTGGTTACCTGACAGTTTGAATCAACACAAGAAATCTCAAACATTGTGCTAGAATCCACATCCTCAAGGCTATTCTTTCGGATACAAGAGGATATCAGGCAGTTGAATAGTGCTTGTCTACGTAGCAGATCTACTATTCCAGGCACTTGGCTTGGATGCCTGAATCATCATGAAAATCAAAAACTGATTATGAAAACCTTTAAAATTTAAATCGGGTGTACGAAGAACGAAATTTGAATAAAATATAAAAATAAAAATGTACAGTTGAATGATGCTATTACATGGCAATTAATCGAAAACAATTATTTAAATCCGATAATCTGAGGGAAAAATTTTACACTTAATTTTTCAACCTTTTCTGTTATTTTCAAACCAAAATTTCATTTAATTTCCCTCAAAATCATTTATTTAAACAAGTTCAGTGAATAAAACCCTAAAAACGTTTTGAGGAAAAGAAGGGGTGGGGATTTTAAGGAAAATAATCCCCCTGTAGTACATATGAACTACCTGAAAGGTAAATAATCCCCCTGTAGTACATATGAACTACCTGAAAGGTACAAAGGTTATGGTTTGACCGACCATCTCTGGTGTATCTGTGAGATAATAGCAATGCTGCTGATCAGGCAAAGTTACAAACATTCCTAGATAAAAAATTGGGATCTGGGGAGCGAATTAAGAAAATTGGAGTGGTCGCTAAATTACCTACCGCCGGTTCAAATCATGAATCACTGATTAAAATCCTTATAAATCGGCGGTTCAAGATCTGTACTAGCACTATGTAGTTGTGACTATAGCTAAGTAGAGATAAATATAATTTTTGGTAAACCAGACGTCACTTGGAATAGGATTAAACAGATTAAGAATCGTCCATTTAAATTATGAATTGAACCCGGCTCGAGATCCTCATATTTGTCAGAGACCTCAGATCTGATCTTTTTGATATTATACCTAAATCTCAGTAATTGTAAAAATAAATGTTAAACCAAAAAATATGCGGGAACAGTTTTAGAGAGCTCCAAATAATTATTCAGATAAAAAACTAAATATCTGCAGCATTCCATTATCAGTAGGTGAAGAAAATGACATCTTATAAATTCTTTCGATGTCTCCGAAGTTCTGAGTTGAATTAAACTCGGCCTAAACTCGAAAAACATAGCTAAACTTCCAATTTAAAGCAATTAAGGGCTTACTTTGTCAATAACAACATATCGTGTTTTCGCAAATTCTCATTTGCCGATACAAGATACTTTTAACTTTTGATAAGGAATCCGTCGGGTTACGATAAAACGAACCAATCCTTTCTTAAAGATTATATAAAAATCGTACCTTTATGTTACTGGTTACAAGATGACAAATATTTCATAACTTTGATAATTGTTTTCATAAAATGTGACCCAGGGAGGAGGAGAGAGACTTATGATAAATTTATTTAAAGGTTTTACCTCTGTTGTTTCTTGAGTCTAGAGTTCCATTACTCTCCTGAAGAGAGATGAGACTGAAGAGTGAAGAGTCTGAACCAGGTTGTATCCAAGGTATACTGGTTATACTCTCTACAATATTACAAATATAAAAACAATTTATTAATATTCCATAAATTTTTATCAAGATTTTATATTTTGTATCAAGATTCCATGATATGAATCAAGATTCAATAATTTGTATCAAGATTCCATAATTTGAATCAAAATTCCATAATTTGAATCAAAATTCCATAATTTGAATCATGATTCCATAATTTGAATCAAGATTCCATAATTTGAATCAAGATTCCATAATTTGAATCAAGATTCCATAATTTGAATCAAGATGCCATGATTTGAATAAAGATTTCATGATTTGAATCAAGATTTCATGATTTGAACCAAGATGCCATGATTTGTATCAAGATGCCATGATTTGTATCAAGATTCCATGATATGAATCAAGACTCCATATGAATCAAGATTCCATTATATGAATCAAGATCCATGGTCTTCATAAAGATTCTATGATTTTCACGAATCATTATTTTTATTTTAACATATATATATACTAGTATTGGGCTCCAGGGACCGAATTTTATTAATTTGTGAGGTCGCTGAACTGCCTGCTGCCGGTTCAAACTTGAATCACTGATTCGAATCCTTCCTTAATCTTTAACTAAATATTTATACCCCTTTTACTTAAAAAAAATAAATTGAATAATGAATTACCTATTTTCTTAATAATAGCTGATGTGGTAGGTAGAGGTTGACTGAGTTCTAGAACTAGGTATGCGGGTAAACGTGCACAGTTAGCATTTCCTAGAGGTACATCTTGACCTGAACATACAGATAACATCTTGAAGGGATAGTTCATAAATTTGAAAACAAGTCCAAAGAAAAAATTCGGAGAAATAATCTAAGTGAATGACAAATTCCATAAATCATGATTAACCAAATGATTAAGAGGAAAAGGGGTGTTTCAGTAACCAGTGTTTCTCATTAAAATCATTTTCTATAAAAAAAACGAGGCGCCACACTTTTGGCTTATTTAGATATGTCGTCAAACTACATTGAATATGCTTTACTTTACATTTTCAATTATTTTCTTTTTAGGCCTTTTTCCGTCTTCTTCTCACTCTTCCCTGTTGGTTCATATTTTAAAGAAAGTAAAATATACCCCTGGGTTCAATATATTTTCTCACTCTTCCCTGTTGGTTCATATTTTAAAGAAAGTAAAATATACACCTGGGTTAAATATATTTTCTCACTCTTCCCTGTTGATTCATATTTTAAAGAAAGTAAAATATACCCCTGGGTTAAATATATTTTCAATAATTAAGTTTCGATGCTCTAGGGGAAAATTTATAATTGGACATCAAAAGGTAAGATTTTCCGTTCTTGTTGAAATTAGTTTGCCGAGTATTTAATTTTTCCTCCCATGAAACCTAACACTTAGGGGATACCCCTTAATACACCCTTGGACAAACCTGAGCTAGATATGGCTTGAGTGAGGGGCAGAATATGTTCAGTTGTTGATGATTTTATTCCAACAGTCAAAGTTACACCTGAACAAAAACTTGTGAACAGCTATAAAAAAAATATTTTAAACAAATTTCTTTTTCACTCTAAGAAGAAGCCCATAGTTTTTCTTGTTTCAAATTAAGACAAAATTGTCTAAAGTTGTTTACAATTGTCCTTTCAATTCAAGCTGATGTCTATAATTAAAGAAATTATAAATACTTCATCATTTCAAGAGTGTATAATTCCTAATGACGAAATTTCTTGTATTAAAAAAAGTAGCAATTTAAGAAAATAAACACGATTTACAACCAAATATGGCAGTTTGAAGGGCAACGGTTAACAGCTAAAACTGTTACTTACAAGGCTCAAAGCGACCTAGAAGCCCGGTGTTCTTTGAGCCTTCATTACCTAGATCTTTACTGATAATGGTCGACTGGGTCATTGGTAGCATTCTCCTAGTCTCAACATCCAGGAGTTGGTAGGGGGGCAGGAATATTCTAGAATATAGACCTGGTAGNGGGCAGGAGTATTCTAAAATATAGATCTGTTAGAGGGCAGGAATACTCTAGAATATAGATCTGGTAGGGGGCAGGAATATTCTAGAATATAGATCTGGTAGGGGAGCAGGAATATTCTAGAATATAGATCTGTTAGCGGGCAGGAATACTCTAGAATATAGATCTGTTAGGGGGCAGGAATATTCTAGAATATAGACCTGGTAGGGGGGCAGGGATATTCTAGAATATAGACCTGGTAGGGGGGCAGGAATACTCTAGAATAAGATGCTAAAGTCGTTATTGAGATAAATGTTATGTTTTTCATTGCACTCGTCATTGTAAAGAAGGGGTCGCTAAAACTTACGTCAACAATTTAAAAAATCTACCTTAACTTCATTGGAAGACCTCCTGCTCTTCCTTCTACTAATCCCAATCCAGTTTTATGAATCAACTAAACAAATAGTTCAAACAGTTTGTAGCTAATTAACAATATTATTTTAGTTCATTTTCTACTAAATAATTTCCAGATTTCAAAACCAGGGATGGGGGAGGGGCGGGCTTCATGATCCCTTTCCTCAAATCAAATCAAATCAAATCAAATCAAATCAAATCAAATCAAATCAAATCAAATCAAATCAAATCAAGTTGTTTAGATCAGAAAGGGAACCTAATTATCCCTTTCCCGATTATTCCCCCCCCCCCCCCCCCACGAATTAATCGAGAAAATAAATAGTATTTTAGAATATTAAATATGAATAAGCAACCAACAGAGGCGTAGTCTAGTCTAATATTTGTCCGGTGGAGGGAGCTCAGAATTCCTTGGGGTCTGAAACCCCTGAAATCCACAGATATCACTAGTCCAAGGGGGTTTGAGCCCCAATAGCCCCTCCCCCTGAATACGCCTTTGGTATTTTCATACCTGGTTTAGATGTTTGACCCAGGGTTGAGATTGTTGAACCTTGTACAACCTCATGAGGTCATCCTCCAGATTACAGAGCACTAAATAATTAAATTTAAACTTTTGAGGTCATCCTTCAAATTACAGAGCACTAAGTAATTAAATGATGACCTTATGAGGTCATCCTCCAGTTTGCAGGGCGTTAAATAATTAAATTTGCATTTATCCAGAGGTTTATATTTTCAAAAATTAAATCCCAATTCTTGTACAATCTCATGAGGTCATCCTCCAGATTACAGGGCACTAATAATCAAACTAGTATTCGTCCAGAGACTTATATTTTCAAGAATTAACTCCCCTCTACTTCACACACTTGCTTAAGGGGGAAAATGATTTTAGAAAGATTTGGGAAATAAAATTTCAATTTTAACTGACACTTTCCCCTTTTACCGTCCTTTTCAAGCTAAATGTTGTATATTTTCCCCTAAAATCATTTAAATTTCCTGATTAGCGGGAAAAACTTACTTTTTCTAAGTGGGCGGAAATTATTTTTAAAGAAAATATTTAATCCTGCATTTTATCTTAAATTTTTAGGCAGGCCTATAAATTGCAGTATTTATTTACGGAAACGTCATATGAGCAGTATTAGGCTCACCGACCACCGTTCCTTTGCACGTGTTCCGAAACAAAATCCGCAAGTATTAAGTCAAATATGCACTGTACAATGTACACGTACACTAACCTTGTCTTCCGCTAGATTTGTCCTGTAGGGCGCAGTTCAGATCATAAACTTTATTCAGACCCTGAATTTATTAGATTCATTCATATTCCTTTAAAACAAAATTGAAGGAACAAAAACCAACAAAAAAAACGGTTTCGCCGCTAAGATTTAAACAGTCACATTAATTAATTAACGATCATAATTTGTGAATCCTTTAAACTCCATTTAGATGAAGGTTTGACCCCCCAGAAGCCATAAAATGTATTCTCTGCCAATAAGACCTCAGGAAAATAAGAGATACTATTTTGTCCCCCAATTAGGAATTTGATCACTTCCAATTAAAAGTTCAGTTTAGGAATTGTAAATTAATTCATAGCTCATTCATAGTTCACCCCTCAAACTCATATATCTTCTATATTTTATTCATATTCGGACCAACATTATACATTAATAAATTCATCAATCTGTTTCATATTATTTTATTATTATTTATTATTTTTTGTTATTATTTATTATTTTATTATATATATAGACTAGTTGTCATCTCTGTATGTCTGTTTATAGTGTCCGATCATAACTCAGGAACCCCTTGAGTGATTTCCCTCAAATTTTGATTGGAGAACTCGGGAGAACCACAGGAATGTTATTAGCTTGATTTTAAGATTGTAAGTTTGGCAGGGAAAAATAGCTACAATTCTAATTTAAGACAAAGCGCAGGTAATCGGCGGGAGTAAATATACGACGATGGGTTCCCAAGATACTATTTAATGACACTAGTTACTAACCTCTAGATGTTTAACGAAAGCATCAAAATCTTGTTTATTCAAGCATTCAACAACTTCAGGGCAGCTTTGGATAGTTCCAGAGTTGCCATTCCCTAATCCTAGATCATATTGAGAATTATCATCTATTTTACCTGTCTTTTGACGAACATTTATACCGACCTATTAATTTTTAAATTTTTAAATAATATTCTATAAATATTTTTATGTTATCAGATAAAAATGTTTTAACATTTCTATATTTCATGTTCTTCATTTTCTTCTTGTTCGTATATCTTACAATCATATTTCGTCTAATTTTGAAAAAAAAAGAAATTTTTGGGGATATCCTTGCAGTATGCCACACAACAAGTTAGAACTAGCTGAGAGGATCTTGATTTCTTTTTTCTGAACTCTGTATTGCATTGTTTACTCATGAGTTACATTCGACTAATCAAAACACACAATTTCTTGGTCTTGGGAACCCTTGGAAAAGTAAAATTCCCCTAACTTCCCTGTTGTGTAGTTGTAAATAATAAAAACTTCATTGTAATGACTATAATAAGTGAAAAAACCAAGCAATAAAGTTTTCGCACGCATGATATCCATTTCATTAATATGTATAGTTTTATTCAATTTTACTCAACTTATTAAATAGCAGGTCGATAAAGTCATTTTATCACCCTCTAGGGTGATAAAGTAACTTTTTCATCCTTCAAAGGAAAATTTAATGTTTGAAAGGGGATTGTTGAGATGAGATTTAAAGAATGATTGACGAAGACGACAATCATTCCATAGTTTTCTGGATTTTTTTTACTTTTGCTTCGTCCTTACCTTTCCCTTGATGATGAATATTAACCCCCATCACACTACCAACCCCGTCCACCACGATATCCACGTAGAACGGCTCGGACATGATGAACAGGTGGATGATCGACTAGAAGGAAATTAATATGAAATAGCCAGGTGTGTATATTTTCCTAGAAAAAATTATTTTTTCCTCCAGAATTTATATATTTTTGTGCGGAGCGCAAATTTTTTAGTAGTTTTACACAAAATTGGAGAAAATAAATGATTTTTGGGGTAAAAAGATCAAAAGAATGAAAAAACTCGCCTTTCGATGCCCCATTTGCACCCTTGGAGACGGCCAAAAAGAATTTTACAGGGGCATAATTTTTTAATGATGATAAACCTATCAGAAAATTTAAATGAAGACCTCAACTGAAATGTTTTAATGCTTTTAACCCAGAAATCCATTTATTTTAAAACATAAAACTTATTTCTTTTACAAAGAATAAATTCTCACAGTTTCAAGTTTGTCATCTAAATAATTTAACTAACTGATTGTATTAACTTTTGGTGTATTTTTTAAACTTTATTTTTTCCATACTTAAGATCCATATAATTTTGACGAGGATCTGGATCCAGGCCATTGGAATTTACTGATTTTTTTTTAAAAAGAAGAATTTTCAGATTATTTTTATTATTCTTTTGGTTATTCTTCTTTATGAACCATTCAGAAATAGAGCCTTTATTGGATGATTTGTCTTAACAGTTCAGATTTAGGGTTTGAGAGCAAAAGATTTTTGATAGATATTTTACCCCTTGCATCCGGATCCGGCCGTGGATCCGCATATTCTTCCGGATCCGGACCCAGGAAGCCAAAATTTTGCGGATCCTAAGCATACATTTTTTTCTTTGAAATTTTAACAAATTACCGGTGGTTGAGAGTTTTGAATACATTTAAGATTCATTTGCCTAATATTTTCGTTTTTAATTTTGAAACATAAAATTTTCTGAATATTTTAAATAAAACATAATTATGCAATTAATTTTGAAAAATCGAAAATATTTTCCTAGCGATGGTTTCCAGCTTTTCCAGCATTCCAGACGCAGAACGCACCGAGATAGAAGACTGCAGGGTGTCCAAACATTTACGGAAAATTTCCTAAATAAAGTTTTATAAAATAAAGTTAAGTGAAGTAATCGGCAGCTCGATAAAGTTTCGTAAAAAAATTTTTTTTTTCCGAATTGCCTGATGGGAAAGTCAACAAAAGAAGGCAATGGTGAATGAAAGAGGAAAAATAGATGACAAGTGTTATTAAAACAGAATTTTTGTGTCAGATAATTTGTTAAAAAAAGACTAAATGTAATTAAAAAACTATCAAAATTTTAATTATTCCAACTTTTATTTGGTAAGAAATGTGCATTTTTTAATATGCGAACATTTCATTTGTTCACTTATACTCAAAGAAGCTATTCCCTAAACCATATTTTGACTTAATTCCTTTTTTTAAACGTTAAGTAGAAAAGACTTTGGTGAATGGTTTGAGGTCGGCTTAAATCATGTATTTAATTACATGTACTTGTCTTAATAAATATGGAAAGCTTAAAAAGTACAAATCTAAAACCCCGTGGAAAGCTTTTACATCTGTTAAACAATTAAAACAACGAAAATAACAAATTAAAAATGGTTCGCGGTGATTATTTTAGAATGATCAGCAATTCACCGAAAACAAAAACCAAATTTGTATAAAATTACACTAAAATAGAAAAAATCAATTTATTTAGGCAAACGTAATGACTAATGAAGACTGTGAAGAGGACATGATATATTTGAGATTACCACGACTTCAATCACTTATGAAGAGATAAAGACCGAGCATCGCATTCATCCCATAAATAAAAATTTTTAAACACACTATATTACAAATGTATGGTTTAGTCAATTTCTGGACCGAGCGCTGCGGCTAAAAAATCGATAATATCATTTTTCATCAGAAGACTTTTTATCCCGCTAGCCCCAGAAATTATTAACTCAGTCAATAACTCCTTCTGGTGGAATCTGTATGTTTCACAGTTTAGCTGATCAGATTGTTCGGCTAGATCCAGGTACACATGTTATACATATCCCCGAGTACTATATACGAATCAGATTGTTCGGCTAGATCCAGGTACACATGTTATACATATCCCCGAGTACTATATACGAATCAGATTGTTCGGCTAGATCCAGGTACACATGTTATACATATCCCCGAGTACTATATACGAATGCGTCGAAAAATAATCAATGACTATTGTTTGTAATATCTGAATGATTTGTTTGGTATTAANGCCGCCCCCCCCCCTGTATCCGCCCCTGCCTACAATTCTTGTGACCTTAGATAATGTTAAAGATCCACAAAGAATAAAGAAAATGTAAGCTGAATTTAATTTCACTACCGTCTAAAATACAGTGAAACTCTTAATAACGAATGAGTTTGAAAAAAAGTTTAAAGTTTAAGGGAACCAAAACTGGATAACTTTGTATAAAAAGTATAAATATTTTTGGTGATTTACGGTATTTTGTGAATTATGATAGTACGTGTTAATCTTAATTGTTGAATATTCTCAATTATCCTGGATTGTTACGAAAGTTGGTTTATGTTCCAAAACGCGTCCAAGATTAAAGTGTTTCAGAAATGGTTTAGGTTTTATTAAAAAGGAACGACTGCTTACAGTTTTATTTTTAGAAAAGAAGTAAATATTGATAATTGTAGATTATCGTGTTTAATAATATGTTAGAAATAATTTCTTCAATATCTAAAACGTTGATCATCACATTTGTGCACAAACCTGACACCCAGTGTCAGGTTTGGAACATATGCAAGGTTTGGAATTTTCTTCCCCTGGAATGAAGCTACTGTTTACTGTTCATTTCTTTTTTACATTATTTTTAACTTATTCATATTTTTAAAAAATATGATTTTTACTTAAAAACGCAGGGTCTGTCCTAGTGAACGATTTTTGGCCCCCCCATGCCCCCCCCTCCTATCAATTTTGTACATGGATGTTAGACATGGATATTATTGGCAATGTGGCCGCGGCGCCCGGCCCCCTAGCCTGTCCTAGCCGCAGCGCTCGGCCCAGAAAGTGTCTTAACTTAACCTAACCCGTGGCCGCAGCGCTCGGCCCCCTAATCTGTCCTAGCCGCAGCGCTCGGCACCGACCTAACCTAAATTAACCTGATACAAAATAAATATTGTCAATTTGTTGAACAATATTCATCAAGTTCACCTTTGAAGGGGGCCGGCGGAGGTCAAGAGGCGTTCTCAAGACAGACCTCATGTTAATAATAGAGAGGGGGGGGGGGTCAGCAAAAAAACGTTCTCTAGGAAATAACTCATTTATTAATTGATTTGGCACCTTATCTTGTGAGTCCAAGGAGTGTCTTTTATCCGCCATTGCAATCCTCAAGGACTTGGCTGTATCAAGAAGAGTTTTCTGTTGATCCGACTTCACCCTGATCCTCTCCATCATACCTTCCATCCACATCCTTACAGCTTTAAACGATCTACCGGACGCTTAATTTTTTTCTGAAAATAAAATTTTTTCTAGCAAAAAATCTACTAGGACCAATCTGACCCAGTTTCTTTAATACATCTTTTAATTAATTGCAGTCTTGGGTCTGTCCTAGTGAACGATTTTTGGACCCCCCCCCCTCCTA